TTTTCTTTTTTTTTTTTTTGCCGGTGGGGGTAAAGTTGGTTCCCCCTTCTTTTTCTTCCTGCTGTGGTTGTGGGGGTTGGGGTTTTTTTGGGTGCCCTTTCCCCCCCCCCCCCCCCGCCCCAGTTTCTTCTTCCCCCCGGGCCCCGGGTTCAGTTAGGGCTTCTTCAGCGGGGGGCCGGGCTTCACCCGTTTTTGGGGGGGGGGTGGGGGGCTCCCGGTATTCTTTTTGTTCTTGGGTCCGGGGCCCGTGGGGACCACCCCCAGTTTGGGGGTGTTTGGGGGGGGGTTCAGGGTTCGCTCCCTTCTTTTTTGCGGGTTGGGATTCCAGGGCCGGGTTTGGTTCTTGGGGGGGGGGGGGGGGGGCCACCGCGAAAGGTGTGTTCGGCGTGATAAATCTTTGTCTACAATAAAACAGGAGTGAAAAGTCTCCAAAAAAAATAAATGTAGGTGCGTGTATGTAAGACCAAGCCGCGTTTGACACCTAAGCCGCAATTAACTCGTGGGACCCGCCGGGCTACCGCGAGAGGGGTTTTGAATGACGCACGACAGTCTCTCTTCAAAGGCGCGTGTGTTGAACACAACACAACCTCTCCGGAATACATACAGCAGAAAACGACACTCTGTCTTGAGCAGTCATGTGTGACAGAATAACGAGGAGGAAATGTAGAAGGCACACCCAGCACTCTCTTCAAAAGATAATGTGGAACACAGAAAACCACATCTTCAAGAGGTACGAGTCAGGAGAAAAATTCTCTCAAACGCACACACATGTGAGACGAAACAACCTCTGCAACGAATCGAAAAAATGCGCAAAACGTCCTCAAGAGGAGCATGAAAGAACGAGCAACCTCCCCAAAGACATGTGTGAGGCACGACGACTTCTTCAAACTACAAAAACTAACGAGAACATGTAGGATACGTATGCAGTTAACGGCACGCACAAATAAATCCTGCGAGCGCTGATTTGAAGTGAAGCAAAAAAATAAACATATGTTCACCCTTGGAGACGACTATTAGAGGACTCACCGCTTCCATTTCGAGCATCTTCTCCCTCTCCTGGACCTGAATGTTCCACATCGCCGCGTACTCGCCCCCCAGCTCCATCAGCGAGTCGTGGTCACCACGCTCGACAATCTGTAAGGGTAACAAGGAAGGTCCAATCGAACGAGGAAAAAGCGTTTACGAGAGAAAGTTTTGCAACAATTCCGTTGCGAATCTGGTCATCGACCCGCCAGTCCATCTCGCAAAACAAACGCAAAAATGGAACAATACCAAGACAAAGCACACAGACACGTACCGCTGCTGTGCGCCATTGCTACCTGTCAGGCGTGGCGTTAACAAAATCATCACCGGTTGTGCAAATTTTCTAGGGGGGGGGTGTTAACTTACGTCGACGTGCAGCACTACGTGGTCAGAGCGTAGTTTGGTGTGCTGGGCTCACGTTGACCCTGAACACGGGTGTGACATGTGCTGAATACCACACCGGCATCCGCATCAGCAGCCGCAGCAGCAATCGGCAACAGAAAACCACAGCGACAACGACCCCCAACAACAAAACCAACCAACCAACGAATGAAACACAAAACCGAGACGCAGCCATCAGCCACCACCTGCTTTGCATACCTGCCCCTCGTGGAGCACGAGGATCTGCTCGGCGTTACGGACGGTCGACAGCCGGTGCGCGATGACGACCGTCGTCCTGTTCGTCTTGAGACCGTTGAGTGCCTCTTGCACTCCTTGCTCCGTGCGGCTGCAGGAATCACAACAGGGACACGGACGCCGGCGGTAGAGCGCGGAGAGGAACAAGAACCGGGGTCAAGACACCGACGAGGCGTAAGAATAGGAGTTACGCTTACCGCGCGGCTTAACCGCAGGTCGCACAAGATGCCACGCACACCCAGGGACCGGCTTTCAAAGCTCTGGTTCACTCTTCAGTATTGAACGGCGGTAACCGTGCCGAAAATGGAAAGTGACGTCTTTGGAACCGTCCCGTCGAGAGCTTCCCGAAACGCTTTGGTTTGATCCTGGTATCCTCTTCGTCGTGGAGTAATCAAGCTTTGAAAAAAGGGGTACCGGGGGTGTGGTATCTTACGTAACCTACGGTGGATATGCCAAGGGGGGTATATTTCGCCCATTTCTACAGTCTGGATTTGATCGTTTCAATCGCAAATCGACTACATCGAAACGTAACAAAACAACAACAACAAAAGGGTGTAACCGAATACGGAGGCAAAGACTGCAAGCACGGCAGAGACCAAAACAAATCCCCAAGAGCACAAAAAAAAAAAAAAATCCAGCAGCGTCACACATATACTGCTGTACCTGTCTAGAGCACTCGTTGCCTCGTCTAGAAGCACGATGGGAGGGTCCTTTAGCAGACACCTCGCGATGGCGACCCTCTGCTTCTCTCCTCCCGAGAGCTTGAGCCCACGTTCCCCCACCTTGGACGACCAGCCTTCGGGCTGCTGCTCGATGAAACGCTTGATCTGGGCCGACTCCGCAGCTTCCTCGACCTGTGGTATGTTACCCCCCCCCACCCAACAGAAACGGCGGCACCCCCAAAAGCGAGCCGGCAACATGCGACGTAACGATAGTATCGATCATAATTTCGGAAAACAACAACACAGGACAATTAACATCGAACACGACGTTTCGAAAAAATATGGATAGAGATGGACGAAAAACAAAAAAAGTGGGCCCCTGCTCTCGAACGATGCCCGTGTGTACGCAGACCGGTCGAGAAAACACACGTTCCACAAACGGACACGCAAACCGAGCCTATAAGCAGGGGTAGTACCTCCTTCAAATTCCGATTTGCGCCTTCAGCATCGTGGCTCCAATCAACAAAGTACACTTGTCACATGGTACGCGCATACCGAGCAACATTGCATGCTCGTACATTGCAGTCGAGAAAACACTCGTTCAACCGATGGAACACGCAACAAAGACTTCAGCCGTACACAGCTGCTGCAGGATCCCATTCTTACCTCCGGCATCGTGGCGTCCATCCGCCCGTAGCGGACGTTGTGCAGCACCGTGTCGTTGAACATGACCGTGTCCTGGGGGACCACTCCGATCGCACGGCGAACGCTCTGCTGGGTCGCCGCCTTGATGTCGTGGCCATTCATCAGGATCTGCCGAGAGCGGCATCCCACAGAGCATGGTTGTTAAACGCGTTTCTCCAATATTTGTTCTTACGCACTGAGACTGGCGTATTTTCATTGGGTAGCCGCTGATTTGGGCTGGTCGATGCTAAGGATAAAAGTGGCTCACGAAACGGTACATAGTGCTGTATTGGCAAGGCGATCAAATTTACGTCTTGTAGCAACGACAACAACAGCGACGCACCGCAACAACAATATCATGACCGCAGACAAAACAACCACAACCAACCAACAAGAGCACCAGCAGCAAGCAAAGGCAGCAGCAGCACCAGCAACAGCACCAGCAACAACAGAAAACGCCACCCGATAACCTAGATGACTCACCATCCCCTTGACGGGGTCGTAGAACCGGAACAGCAAGCGGCTGATGGTCGTCTTGCCCGCCCCGGTGTGTCCCACCAGGGCCGTCGTGGTGCCCGGCTCCACGAAAAAGGAGATACCGCGGAGCCCCCTGTGGCTGTTGGTACAAGGGCCGGCAGTGGGGGGAAAAGAAGGGCCGGGGGTGAGAAGGAGACCCAGTCACGGAGCCCCCCCCAGGGATGTGTTGTTCCCTCGCAAAACAGTTTCCCCCGCTGTAAGCGCACAACTTCATGGTGATAGTATCCAAGAGAGAGTACTAATAATGGTGATATTTTCGAACATGGTGACATCGTAACCCCCGCAAAATTATCGCATTCTGCGGGGCACCATGCTTCTGAACACAAAATGGTGCCCTTAAAACGGTGGGGACGGACGGCTGTCACAAGGGAATCACTTCCACCGACCGTCGATACACTTAGTAGGTGTCAAGGCAACCTATTGACCTCCCGATACCACGGCCGTGTTCATGATCATGACCAAACCAACAACAGCAACAGCAGACGACATGCTTTTCCTCTCCCACATCACCCATCTCCGAGCGAGTGCTCTCTAGTTCGGCATCGTTGAAAGGCGATACGTAGCTCTCACAAAATAGGACTGCGGCGGCAACAGTCACAAACAACACAAACCAAACCGAACAATGGGAAGACAAAAAAAAAAAGCACCGCAACGGCAAAACCACAACGATCGCACACTGTACGCAAAGAAACTGCAAGAGTATTTCTTACGCATACATACATACGATAAAAACACCAGCGAGGGGGCACGCAGACCGTAACCCTACCTTAGCCGATTTCTATACTTTATCCAGCATGTTTGCTGGCCTAGAAAAGGCCTGCGTAGACTACTGGAACAGAAAACAGAGCCAACCACACACAGGGACGGAGGCCTGATCACCCACCTAGGCTGGCTAGGGTACCAGAACCAGACGTCCCTGAACTCCAGGCTCATGCCGACATTCTTAGGCGTCCTCGGCAGATCGATGGCATCGGGAGCGTCGACAATGTCCGGAGACTCGTTCAACAGCTCCGACAGGTTGCGAATGTCCACAAACGCCTGCAGCAGGAGGGGGGACGCAGACGTGGATGACGACGGGGGGACGGGGTGGGGGTTACAACCATTAATAGCGCATGCTGCCTCTCTTCCCCCCTGTTGTGAAGTGCCACCCATTAACCTTCACCTTCGGTGGAACGGTTGCCTATCTCCCCTCCTTCTCGCATGCAACAAATTGGAGCGCCACCCCCCTGTGGCACCATTCCTACCACCCACCCACCCTCTCCCTCTCGTACGTGAGCGAGATGATGCTAACCGGCACGCAAACGGAAACATTTTGCGTAAAACAGCGATTTCAATGCCGTGCAGGTCTCTCCTTTACACGTACACACGCCAACAACGAATGCTGCACACGGGACGGCTTAAGTACATCCCCTCCCCCGTTAAAACAAATTTGTTTGGCGGACATTTTCCCCCCACCCCCCCTCCCCGCCGCCCAAGCTGCCCGCCGACCTCTCTCCGGTAAAACCCCCAAAGTTGCGTACCTGAATGATGATGTTGTAGACGGTGCCGAGGAAGTAGAGCGGCGTGAAAAGGTTCATCATGTAAGTGTTCACGGACACGAACTCTCCCACCGTAGAGTCGCCGTCTACCACCGTTTGGGCCGAGAAGTACAACCCTGCAAATACGGTAGAAAAATACGAGGCGTAAATTCGGAGGGAAAGAATAAAAAGCGATCAGAAACAACACCACCGGAAAAAGGAAGGAGAGAAACGACGACGTCGGGAATCGAAACGACACAAGACAAAAACAGAACTAGAAAAATCGCGAGTGAAAGGGACGGTCCGTCTTACTTGGTCGACCCGTCGTGTTGGGCCGAAAAAAGAGGGACGTTACCCCGAAAGCACGCATGACAAGGGAACAGCACCGACAACGAAAATGACACCGGCAACGTAAGGACAACGACGACGACAGAGGTACCGTACATGACACGAGATAACACACCCCCTGGAGCGATTTTCAAAGCTCGATTACTCAACGACGAAGAGGATGCATAAAACAAAATGATATATATTTCGAAAAGCTATCTCTCGACGAGACGCTTCCAACGCCGCCGTTTTCGACGCTGTGACTCTTCCTGCTGTTGAGAAATCGATCTTTGAAAATCGGTCAAGGGGGGGGGTGTTATCTTGTGTTACATGAGGTATGCATGACAAGGACAAAAAAAAAAGCGAAGACAAGCACAACAAGCAAGATGGAAAGAGACAGGTGAAACTCGAGTGGAAGCGGGGCTTAAGACTACAGCAGACAACAAGCAGAATAAAAAAAAAAACGTGAACTCCAGCATGGGTGGGGATACTTGCAGCTAGCTGCAACATGCGATAAGGAACAAAGAGAGGGGCGTTGAAGCAAATGTCCAAACGGTGCATGTAAAGTCAGCCTAGCAGCACAGAGTTCCGCTTCACGTGGGATATATACTCAAGGCTTCCATCAAACACACCACAACACAAAACGCGCTGAAAAATTCCATGAGGAGCGGGCAAAAACGGCTCTAAATGCGAACGCACCCATCACGTACCTAGCGTGAGGGTCGAGTACATGATGAGCTGCTGGGAGACGTTGAGGATGGAGAGCGAGGCCTGCGTGCTGACGCTGAAGCGCTGGTACTCCTTCACGCTCTCCTTGACGCGGGCCACCTCGAAGTTCTCGTTCGTGAAATACTTCACGGTCTCGTAGTTTATGATGCTGAAAACAAAAACGAACCGCGACGGGAACAGACGAAACGAAACAAAAATATGGAGCACAAGGGTGCATAGAGCGCTTGAGGCAACTCAGGGATAAAAAGTGTACTTGACGGTCTCGTAGTTTATGATGCTGCAAGCAACAACACGGGAAAGGACGAACCGAAAATGACGCACCATGGTTTTATGGTTTATGATGCTGAAAACAACATGGGAACAGACGAAACGAAAAACACAAATGTGGCACAAGGGAACAGCACTTGCGACAACTCATGGTTAAAACTTGCACAGTGAAGGACTTGGCGGTATCATCATAGTTGATGATGCTGCAACGGCAACGGGATGCAAGAAACAACGAGACGCAACAAAAAAATCGTGGCTCGAGGATATATGCGCAGTTAAGTAAATCCAAGGTTCAAAACAGCCGTCCATTTTTCGGCGCGAGAAAATGTGCTTCCGTACCCCTCGTTCGCACGGTGAACGTCGTAAACCGCACGCAAGGCCTTTGTCGCGGACTGTACCACAGTCTTCATGCTTAAATCTTCAACCACAGCATACGGTGACCGCATGCAACACCACCGTTAGCGGCCCCGTGGTGTGGTGAGAGGTGTTTTGTTCACCCACCTGTCCGTAGCCTTGCCGTGGTCCAACCAAGCACACAACGCTCAACGCATACATACAGTACCCCGTCCCCCCTTTTGCAAGGCAAGGCGTTCACACCCTCTTCGCGGCGTTCGTCTCCCCGCTCAACTACCAACATGACTGTGAACGCGTAGTACAATAACGCCCCCATCACGCCTTCCAAGGCGTTCACACCCCTTTCGCTACCTCTTCGCGGCAGTCAACCTGCTCAACTACCACCATAACGGTGTGAACGCGTAGTTTAGTTTACAACGCCCCCGTCACCCCTTCCGAGGCGTTCACACCCCTTTCGTTCACGCACCTCTTCGCGATAGCCGTCGGCATGCCCAACTACCAACATGACCGTGAACGCATAGTATTATACCCCCATCACTCCCCGGTGTCGTGCTCACACCCCTTTCGTTCGCCCACCTGTCCGTCGCCTTGTCGTGGTAGTCGTTGTCGTGCTTGTTGGTGGCCTGGCGGAACTTCTTCCTCCACAGCGTCACCCTCACGGTCACGTAGCCGTACAGGCTGAGGGACACGAAGGCCATCGTGGCCAGCCTCCAGTCGTCGAAGTTCACGTAGAACACGATCACCTGTCGCGTTGCAGAATGCCGCACGCACGAATTACCACCGAAGCAGACCAAGACGAGGGATTGAATAACGAAAGCAAAAAAAGCACGGTTACCACCAAAGCAGACCAAGAGTAGGGATGGAATGACGAAAACAAATAAAAGCACGACGTCAATCCGAAACATGTTTTAGTGATTCATTGGACACGTGCACCACAGTTTTGGAAAGAACGGGTCAAGCCGAAGCACGACATTTATGCAATACGCGTCACTGCCTTGAGTAGCCTGGACGTGGACAGATTCAGGCCCAACAAAAAAGGTGATTTGTGGACCTGACAGTAAGAAGGTGCTCGGTTTGGAACCTAAGAAGAAAATATTAAGTCTATGTACTAAATGGTTCATGTTGGGATGATACCCAACAAAAGGGAAAAAAAAACAAAGGCCCTCGGGGCAAAACAAGAGGTTCACAGTCAGTGGAGGCGCGTATTATTGTTTACGTCCAGCAACGGCACCAATAGGACCGCCATCACCTACACTACCAGCCACTATTTACCAACAACAACAACAACAACAACAACATCACAACGACCAACAGCAGCAACATCGCGGCACCACCGAGAGCATCACCAACATCTCACCAGTAGTCAGGACCACGACCACGACCACCGCGAAATATCATCCCCACGCAACAACACAGCAGTAACAACATTCCCACCCAACATCAACAACAACAACAACAACCAACACCAACATCACCACCACCGCCATCACCAAACCGAAAACCCCTGTCCTCCCTCACCGTGGCTATGCACTCCGCGATGGCCGGGACGAGGTACAGGAAGAGGTAGGTGATCAGGTTGTTAGCCGCGTCTGTGCCCCTGTCCATCGACCTCACCACGTTACCCATCTTCTTCTTGAGGTGCCACTGCAAGGATAGGGTGTGGAGGTGGGCGAACGACTGCTCCGCGATCTCGATGTAGGCCTGCTGCTTCACCCTGTTCGACAGCGGGAGGAGGTGGTTGACGGGGGGGGATAGTTTCGGGTTCGGAGGCGTCGACGATAACTCAGTGTTGTTTGTCTTCTTGAAGCGAGGAACGGGCAGTGTACTAGTCTCTCTGTCTATGTCTCTGTCTCTCTATGCCTGTCTCTGTCTCTGTCTCCCTCCCTCTCTTTCTCTCTCTCTCTCTCCCCCCCCGTCTCTCTGTCTTGTCTGTTTCTGTCTCTCCCTCGCTCTGATTATCTCTTTCTACCTTTCCCTCCCTCTCTCCCAGGATCCTTCCCGCCCTTCCGCTTCCATCGCCTCCCAGTCTCTTCTCTCTCCGCCTATCTTCATTCACATCTTGCAGCCATTGTGGAAAATACCTTCGGCGCTCGCGTACTCTTGCCCCTACAAAATCTCCAACCCCTTCCATCGTCTGCTGGGAAACCAATCTCTCTACCCCCCCCCCCCCCTTTCTGTAGCCCCCTAACTCACTTGAGGTAGACGAGGCTCTGAGCCTCCTTGAGAGCCTTGGCGGAAAACGCCAGGATGGCGTAGAGACCGACGTACTTCATGGTCTCGCCGAGGTCGCCGTGGTAGAGAGAGTTCGTAGCGTTACTCAGGAAGAACGGGCTCGTCACGCTGCAAACCTTTTGCAGTGTATACGGGGAAAAAAAAACGCGCACCGGGGGGGGGGGGGGGAGG